CTAAGCTCCATGCATTTTAGCAAATTCATTCAAATGCAAAACAAAACCAAACAAAAAAATCGCATGTGAACAATTATCAATACCCTTTGCTTCTAACTTTGTTGAAGAACGTGAAGGTCTTCTTTGGAATCTCTTAGAAACTTGGCACAACTGCTTTGGGAAATTTACTCTCATTTTTCCCTTTAGGTCTTCAGTCAGCTTGGAACGGCAGATACTTTTAGGTGTTTCTAAGATGAGAAAATTCACAGGCTTCTACTGGAGCAACTGGTTTGTCTGGTTGGCGGTTCTATGTGAGTCAGTGTCAAACTGGATGATGAATCGTCACCTTATTCTGATGTCCAGAGAAACTTGGAGCAGCTAATCTTGAAGATTCTCCATCTATCAGTCAACTCACCATTTACGCAGACAAGATGCCCAGGTACTGCAGCAGAGAAACTTAGCAGCGATCGTGTTAGTCAGGTGACAAACAGAATATGGCTCATCAAGATGAAGTGCTTTGATTTCAGCCGGAGAAGTTCAATTTTGACTTATCGGACCAAAGACTTTTGTTTTTCCTGGTCTGACACTCTCTAAGTTGTGTTTTGGGACAATTCAAGCCGGCTGCCATGTCCACCTGATTATTGTACGGTACTGAAAGTGCTGCTGCATTCAGTTTTGAGTGTCATGGCGATGTTGATTGATGTTGCTAGAAGACACGTATGCATATAGGAAGGCAGGAAGCTGAGTTAATGCAGAGAAAGGTATTTCACAACAAAAAACAAAACAAAACAGAAGCTTAATAAACTGAGTTCAATATTTAAAAAAAAAACTAATTTAAAGCCTCATGACAAAGACACTTAACATGTGGGGTAGATAACATGAAGATTTAGCAAAAAATAGTAGGAAACAAAGGGCTTCTAAAAGAGGAAGCTGTTTCCTGGGATAGGAACCAGATGATGCTAAATATAACTCAACCCAAGAATGACTAAACCCAGGAATGGTTGTACATAAACATGCAAGGTCAACAAAACGTCATCGCGCTATGATCGGCGAAGGCTGTAAATACCAATGCGCAGACTTTTTTTCTCAGATGTTTGCAAAGATTTTCAAAAAACATTTTTGTTTTGATATGGATACAACCAACTGACTACATGGAGAGCATAGAGCCTTCATTTTGAAATGATGAGGCAATTACAAAGTAAAAACAATATGGCAGCACAAAGTGAAAAGCAGCTTGCTTACGTACAAGAAAAATACAACACAGGGGAGCGATATAATTGAGAGGAGTTGATGCTGGACAATATGTGACATTTCATTTTATGACTAGATGGGAATCAGTGTAACTGTAGCTTTAGTGTACAATAGATTTGTGTAGGAAAGAATAAGCTGACGCTACAAAGCACACCATTTGTCTCCCAGTAAAAGCATTTGGTCATGATTGCATTGTCCAGATTATACTGGTTTGATATAAACTTTTTAAAGTACATTTTCCAAAGACACGGTTTCAGCTTCCATGACCGCCTGCTCTTTGAGGTCGTTCGATTAGCTGTTGTTGGATCTAGTTTGATGTACCCAATTCAGTCTGCCATCCAGTATTTGAATCATTTCGTTTCATTATGTGATTTTGCAACATTAGAGACAGAAAGGAAACGAAGAATTTTTGAGGTCCTTTGGTTAAAAGTTGATTAAATCCACACAAAAACCCAGTTGCCTTTGGGGCACCATGTTTCTGGTTCATTTCATCCCTTCCAGACAGAAAACGCTTCACGGATGTGTCATCTGTCAACAGGTTTTGACATGAAAAAGGTTAGATCGTCCACTGCCTCCTGCCTCTGACCTTTATTGGACCGCAAGTGCATGAGAGCGAATCTTACTGTCCTTCTGGCCAGGTCAGGACCTTACTGCCCAGAGACGCACACCGAGTCAAACAAGGAGCAGATGGCAGTGCAGGCCTGAATGACTCTCACTCCCTGATGGAAGCTTATCAAACACAGTCAGTTGAAGGAAACAATGACAAAGTTTATTGATCGGACCATCAAATGACCAATTATACACTAAAATCCAATGAAAGGTCTTGCTCCCTGCACATCCCTGCACAGTGGTGACAAAGGGCTTCACTCATCTGAGAAAGTGGAGAGTGAACCTCCCAACAATATGGATTTTTGACATCCTGTGGTTTAAGTTACAATGTGTTTTTTAAGCAGTTGACATACAGAGTTATGATGCTTTGCAGAAGAATTCAAGTTATTCAAATGTCTCCATATTGCGCCATCTACAAAAAATACTTTAAAAAGTTCTTCCCAAGAAGTAGAAGAATAATTCACACATATGCGTGTCTGTGTGTGTGTGTTTATAAAATGCTATATTAAATGCTGCAATAAGCAGTGGATAAGACAATTGCTTCATGCATACTGATTGTACATTGATCATTTCTGAATCGGTACTTTTAAATGTCACATAAATTCACAACACTGGGTCCGTATTCATAATTTAACCTCTGAATAAATTGAAAGATGAAAAAAGGTCACTTGTTTAGACATACTGAACTGAAATCTAATTGCAATCTTTTTTGTAGCAGCAGGAATATGCTCACATATGCAAAAACAAAAAACAAAAAAACAAAGACCCACAGATAACCACCAAACTTACCCTACTTCTAACTGGGTTACCTAATGTAACATGGTAGGTAATAGCATGTTACTTGCTATTAATAGCATGGTAGGTGTTCAGTTGCTTTTCAATGCATTACAATATAAATTCTGTCATAATGACAGTTTTGAGACTTTTAAGCAGGCAGAGATTAAGGACAAAGAGAAGATTTACTAAAACAAGGTGATGGAAATAGCCAGTGTTCAGGTTCAGGTCCACAATAAGAGGCGAGACGGGTTTGTTTTTGTTTTTGGGGGGGTTGATGTTGGTTAACATCAAGTATGGCTTACTGTTGCTGAAAGAGAGAAAGATCTGGAGGACAGGGAGTTTGCCCTCAGAGGAAGTGGTGGGTAGTGAGAGGATGGGCGGTGCAGCCAGGGTGAGGCTGCTGCCTCAGAAACCCGCACCTTCTTTAAATTCCTCCTGATTGCTTCTGATGAGGAACAGCTGGAGATCAAACCTGCCAGTCACTCCCTGCAAAGGAGAAAGTAAAGGAAACACACGTACACACACACACCAACATGCACATACCCTCTGGATGAGGAAACGTGTTTAAAAATGTACAGCTGGTCATTGAACATTTTTACTCTCCGCTCATTTCATCAAGCCATCGTAGGTTTACGGTGACAATGTCACCCTATGCAATTCCACTAGATTCTCATCTCCCTTCAGTGCTTCATCCCAGTGGGACAAAGCAGCAGTTGTATTAAACAGATAGCAATGCCAGCAATGAACTCAAATATGATAAATGACAAAAATCAAACAGAAGTTTGTATGCAGGGCCGGCCCAAGCCTCCATGGGGCCCAAAGCAAAATTTGGTTTTGGGGCCCTCTTGTTCTGCTAACAATGTGGACTGGCTGCAATCAGAGATCATTCACACACCTGCTATAAACTCATTGCATCTCTGTCAGTGCTGTTTATATTATATGTATAATAGGATACATTTATCGACCAACTGATTTATGGAGCAGTTGATTTCTGGGCGCCGGTTTCCTTAATTTTGGGGGATCGTGATCGGCCAATACTTACACGAGAAGCCCATCTTATCCCCTAATCTTATCTTTGTCAGCAAAAATTTTGAAATTGGCCTCTGTCCTCGTCTGCTCTGCAGTGAGAGGTTTGACAGGCCGGCCCACCAGGTCAGGTCTGCACATTTACAGTTAACCATATTCACCCCACTGTTGCCAAGTCGGTGACTTTCTTGCTCTATTTAGTCACATTTCGGACAAAAGAAAATCATAACAGCCAAAATCTAAATTGGCAGGTCGGGCTTTTTAAAGAACGGTAACCAGGGATCGGCCAGAAAACTGCAATCGGTGCAGTGCTGCACACATATTCATGAGATTCTTTGATTGAATTCATTTCTCTTGAGCGTTACTCCAGCGTTACTCCAGTAGCTAAAATTTAATTTCCATCAGGTCTTTCTCCCCTGAGAATGTGGATCGGTGCAAAATGACTGTCCTCAGCAGCATACAACTAATCTCCAACTGCAGCACAGAACAGCTCATCAATGTAGCAGCTATGTAGCCTAATGGAGGCCATTTTGCTAGACAATGTCAAACATTGAGAAGTTTTAGTTGTTATCAAATGTTATCAAACACGGCGTTTAAAAGCCAAAACTACCTCAGAAATATAAAGAATCAATCAACCATGAGAATCAACTCATTTCAAGTTTAAACTCAGTTTCACACAGAAACAAAGACCCGAGCATAAATGTTGGTTTGTTGAACTGAACCGATCCAGGACGCTGTTGAGCTAATTTTCTATGAACAGCTTTACAAATCTTTTATTACATTACCAAGACACATTAAAACAAACCTTTATTTTGGCTATTTTATTTCTATTCTTCCTCTCTTTTTTTCTCCCTTGCTGTAGGATAAGTCCTATTTTGAGACATTGCTTTGCTTACTTATCTTCTGACCAGAGCTTTGGACGTTTGGATCCGGCTCATGTTACCGGCGAAGCCTGCGGTACCTACTGCGGCCACCAGGGAGGCTCCCAAGAGCAATTTTTATCAATAAAACAATGACTTCTACATACATTATTAAATATATATTATTGTAGAAACAAACCACTTCATAGAGAAATTGTGTGTTTTTGATATTATAATGACATAGAAATTATTACAAAAAATAAATAAATAATGGCTGCTTAGTATGCTTGTGCCTAGGGCCGGCCATGTTTGTGTGATTTAAATATTATACCATGAGAAGAATGTTTTGTGTCTTTTTAAATATCTGGTTTCGACTGGCTGTTTTATTGGGTGTTTAATTCTGAGAATATGAAGATTTTGACCGACTGTGTGTCCTTGTTCACAGCCTCATTTTCTCCGAGCTCCTCTAACGCAGCATCTCCTTCCCGCCCCCCTCCCCTTAGCAACAGAAGCAACATGGCGGCGTCCAGTACCGCGGAGCCCTCTCAGGAGATAACGGCACCATTAAAGATACCGAAAACCGAGGTGCCGTCTCCCGAGTCCGAGGATTTGAGCGACAGCATCCAGTACCACTCCGACCCTTCGACACCGAACCGCTTCTCGCCTCTGAACGTGGGCTCCGGGACCGCGGGCCGGACGGCGGCCTCATGCTCCTCCAACAGCTTCACCGCCTGCCGGGGGATGTCCTGGACGCCGTCCGAGACGAACGCCCTCATCGCGGTGTGGGGCAACGAGCGGCTCACGGAGGCGCGCATGCAGCAGCTGGAGGTCGCGGGCACCGTGTTCTCCGGGAAGCCGCCCGGCCCCGCCATGTACGAGCGAGTGTCCAGGGCGCTGTCGGACCTGGGCTACGAGAGAACCCCGTCCCAGTGCAGGGAGAGGATGAAGGTAAGGAACCATGACAGCGAGCTGTCACTGTCACGACTCCGACCTGTCATCATGACACCGAACTGGGTCCGCCGACTGTGTCACACTGGAGACGTCTTTCACCACAGAACACCTCCTTAAATCCTGGTGATGCTTCATGAACTGGGAAATATAAAGTGCTGCTTTATCTTACATGTTATATAAATAAATCTTTAGATATTTAGGCCCAGGTGAGCCATCAGAGCCAGACACTCTGTTTGTTAAACAGTGAGATTTTCTATAATTTGGTCCAAGCTTTGGTACAAAGAAGATGTTTTATGCTGTCATTCATTTTGGGCCATAGAAATATAGATGCTGCAGCTGGGTGAGCGATGTGCCCTTTCAAAACTTAAACTCCTCGCCTCTCCTCCGTCCCAAACAGACACTTCGGCGCTGCTACAGCCGTGTGAAGGAGCATGGCATCGGGAAGAGGAAGAGCAGCTACACCCTGGAGCAGCTGGAGAAGGTGTTCGGTCAGGGAGGCTGGGACTCTCAGAGCTGCGCCCCGGTGCTGATCAACAGCAGCGGGTTGTACCAGGAGATGGAGTCTGACGGCAGCACGCTGGAGGACTTCTCGCAGGAGGACTGGTGCAACCAGGTGTTGGACTCGGCCTTCCAGGAAGCAGACATGGACACCGGTGGGATCCGTTTATATCTATGGAAAAAGCCACTGTGACCAAATTGGGTGGATGAAATTAATGATGCCATTATTTTTGTGTCCCGTGTTTTTCCTCCGGTTTAGAAGACCTACAGGTGCCTAAAAGCAGAGCTCTGCAGGTTCAAGCAGAATTGTCTGAATTAACCCAGTAAGTTTATTGTTTTTAAATAAAGCCTGTTTTTACATGACTTTAGTGAATTGCTGTTACGTCTCCTCACTGTGAGAAGCTTGGTATTAAAATTTTACTAGATTCTTCAATCCAGGTTCACTGCTGTGCACTACCAGTTACTACTGGTTCTGTGACTGTGTGCAGGAAAAGGGAGGCGATGCAGACGGTGATCCGCATCCTGGAGTCTGTGCAGCTGAACTGGGAGCATTTCCAGACGTGGACCGAGTTCTCCCGGCTGCACCTGTCCAACAAGCTGGCCATCTTTGGCGTGGGCTACAACACACGCTGGCGCGACGATGTACGCTACCACTACGCCGAGATCAGCTCGCAGGTGCCGCTGGGCAAGCGGCTCCGGGAGTACTTCAACCCGGAGAAGCCGGAGGGCCGGGTCATCATGACCAAGGTCCAGAAGATGAACTGGAAGAACGTCTACTACAAGTTCCTGGACATCACCATCAGCGAGGCGCGCTGCCTGGAGCTCCACATGGAGGTGGACTGGATCCCCGTGTCGCGGCCGCCGCTAGCGAGCAGCAAAGGCTCGTCCCACTACCTCCTGCCAGGTTTCGTCCCCAAGACGCACGGCCTGTACGCCATCGGCTGTGAGGCGCTGCCGGCCTGCGACGCCGCTTGCACGCCGTCTCCTCCGGCCAACGACGAGGAGCAGGACGACAGCAGCTCGCCCCGGCGGGAGGCGGAGAATGGGTCAGAGGGCAGCGTCAGGACTGGGCCCGCCGTCACGTACTGCTACCTGGGCGTCGCCGAGGACAGGACCATCCAGCAGTGCCTCTCCCAGCACTTTCAGGGACCCGGGAAGCACTGCGCCTACGGGGAGCCGTCCGGCGTGACCCGCTTCCTGCAGGAGAACGGCGGCGCCAGGACGGATCAGCAAGGTGGAGACTCGCCGCAGCGCTGCGCCGTTTACGTAAAATTCATCGAGGTGGAGCTGGACTTCCTCTCGGCGGGCTCCCTGGTGGAATGCCTGGAAACGGCCGTCGGTTACTCCTTAAGGTTCAACAACAAGGAAACATTGTAACCACCACCCCGTCGGTTTACAGGTGACTCTGCAGCTCTGGTGGTGGCAGCGTCATGCTGCGGGATGCTCTTCTGTTTAAGCAGCTTAGAAAGAAAAAAAAAGTAAAGAAAAGGTAAATTTTTTATTTCCTTTTGTCTCTGGCTGTCATGGAAACAAGCGTTGACATGTGACGTTCATTTGTGGCTGAGAGATGCATTTATGTACGCGTCACCAGTTAAATGCTGCCCACCATAATAAGCTCACGAAGTCATTCAGAATACTAAATCCTTCAGTTTCGACGCAGAGTTTCATCACAGTTCAAGTGTTCAAACTGACAAGAGTTTCTAAATGAACAACAGTTTCTGCCTCAGTATGATTTGCAGCACTGACAACGGCGCTTATTATTGAATATTGTGCACTAGGATTCTCCAGCTGCTTGTTAGGTTTTATGTGACATGTCTGATCAGGGAGAGCAGGGCTGGAGGAGGTGGGTATGTGTGGGCGTGTGTTTGTGTGGGCGTGTGTGTGTGTGTGTGTGTGTGTGTGTGTGTGTGTGTGTGTGTGTGTGTGTGTGTGTGTGTGTGTGTGTGTGTGTGTGTGTGTGTGGGTGGAGGGAGGCTTACCCTGCAGTATGCATCTGTCTACCTCAGTAGGATGTAGCAAACCACGCAGTGAGGGACCACAGCTGGATGTATTCAGAAACTGCCTTCACTTGGACTGTTGGTTTGAGTCCACAGAGCATCTATGGGTAGAGGCGGAGTCATGCCTTACGTTTTGCACATGTGGCGGGTTTAGCAGCAAGAGATACTTCCATGCAAACTACAGAACCATCGCTCCACGGCCGGACGCCGTGAGCTGGCGTCAACGGAGCCGACCGTGGGTCCGGACGAGGAAGCAGGATTCGTTGTTTTGCAAACCAGAACCAGAACCGTTATTCAGGTCAGATTAAGATCTTCAATGTTTACTGATAACTTGTTACAGGCCAGGATTCCAATGACCAATCTGTTCCCTGAGAGAGAATAAATAATAATTATTTAAAAAAAAAAAAGAAAACAATTTTACACCCGACCAGAAACAACTTTCTAATGAAGTGTCTCTGGCAGCCTGAAGTCGTCTCCTGCAAACGTCTGAGTCACAAAATGATCAGCCCCATTCTGTATCTTTTGACACACCATTTCATTCCCACATAGTAAGCTATTGTAAATCAGTTTTATGTTACGATAATAAATGGAGGCAAATAACAAAACGGTCAAATGTCACATTTAAATTCGTTTAAGTGGATGTTTTGTGATTCACAATCGTTCCATGTAGGAGTGCACTCATTGCAGTTTTCTGGCCGATCACGGATCTCTTAAAAAGTCTTACCTTTTCGATAAGACTTTTTATTGGTTTTTAGCCCAAAGCCAATATTTTTTGTCTGAAATGTAGCGAGAAGGTGTCCAAGTTGGCAACAATGGGCTCACTGTTAACTGCGAACATGCAGACATGACCTGAGCAATAGAGGACAGTAGTTAAGTTCTAGATGTTGAGATAAAATCAGCTTCACATATAAATACCAGGCAATCATTGATCTGCCAAAATGAAGGAGATCAGGGAGGCTCTATCGGTGCACCCATAGATCTATTGAGTTTTGCATCCCTCCCCACATCAGACCCCAAATCAACTATTGAAAATTGATATAAGTTGTTAAAGGGAGTATTTAAAAAAATGTATATTTTATGAAAAAAAAATTTTGACAGAATTGGCAGGTCAGGCATTTTAAATATTTGCGCTCCACCAGAAAATGCAATCGGTGCACTCCGTATATGAAAACACAAAATGACCAAAACTGTGCAGCAGCGACTTGCAACTGTGTAAGAAGCTGGTTGAGATATTTCCAACATTCCCAATGAACCAATTAAACATGAGCACATCCATCAGGAATAAAAAGAAAATATTGGAATCATTTGATCTATTTAGAATATTAGTAATCTGACTGATTAAATTGTAAAATCCCAGGATTGTATTGACTTCATAGTAGATTGATGACATAATAGTGGCCACTGGAACCATGCAGTGGTTCAAATAGATCTCTTGAAGGAGTGGGCAAAAATTAAAAGAACATTTAAATCCAAAACAAAGCCGTGAGGCGCTGTTGGGTCAGAACTCACATCCGTTCGGAAACAGTTCAATCCTCTCCTGCATGGGATTTGTTCACAGTTTAGTTTGCAGCAACTCAGACCCATCAGAAAAAATAAATAAATAAAAATAACGGTTCTGGCTCTGGTTTGAAAAGTTTGGAGCATCCCTTGCTGCAGCCGCTGGCTGGTTGGTGATGTAACGATGTAATATTTCAAATGCAGACAACAGGAAGCGTTTGCCGTGTTCAGAAGCCGGCCCGACAGCACTGCGGCTCATTCAGGGCCTATAATCAAGCTGAACCCTCGAAAAGGATCTGCAGGTTACGTGCAATGAATGTGCCAGAAAGCGACTGCGGCACACGACAAAACGTGGCGTGTCCATATGAATCTATGTAATGTGAAATACCATATAGCTTATATAATATATATTTGAGAACATCGGTGTTCTTGAGCATTCCAGCTTTTGTGAAATTTATTAGTTTGGGTCATCAAAGATGTTAAAAAATATGATATTTTTACCTCATAGATTTGATGCCATGTACTGTATGTGCTTGTTTCTAAGTCACCATGTTGTCTGTTTACATGTTTGAAGAACAATAAATGGGGAACTCTGTGGTTAACCACATGCTAAAAGTAACCGGTTTGTTATTTATTGGTCTGTCACGATATTTTTTTTCTGGACGATAAGTTCTTGTGATTAACAGAAATTTTGTTTTGGGGGGATTATCTGCAAATAATGTGCTGATAGTGGCATAATTGTGCAAGCTCACCTTCCCAAATTACAATAAACTGTTTACAAAATTAAAGTTTGACACTAGAACTGGAAGATGTTTTAAATATCCAAAATGAAACACAACAATCCAAAACAACAAATAAAACCCGGGGCAGAGGCGGGACACATACTCACAGTTGACGTCTGAACAAAAGGCTGTGAATATAGAGGGCTCCCTGTCTGCAGTGGTGAGACGACGACATTGTGACAACATGAGAGGAGGCGCATGTTAGTCACAACACTATTACACTACTTAACTGTGTTTCATTGAGACTTTGTGTGATACAAAGTAGTGTATTTATCTATTTATCTGAAGGAAAAAAAATTTCAAAATTGTTAAATTCACTTTGACGGAAAGGTAAGACCCAAGTTGTAATTCCTTCTTTTGACCAGGAGATGGCCCTGTGTAGCTGTTGCAGAAGCTGCTTGGTCCAGACTGTTTAACAGAAATATAAAAGCCCAACAGAACCTGCAAATGGAACCTACAGTAGTCTGATAGGAACTGGTGAGAACGTGCAACATCAAGACTGCATGTTAATGGTGAATCCAAAATGCTTCCCTCTACTGCCCAGAATAGAAAACTTTATGGGACAGCACTGGACATGTGTGTCGTAGATTCTCCACCTACTCATTTAACTGATGATGGCCTGTGTGTTTGTCACTAAACACTTAGAAAATAAGTCAACTAAATAACTATCAACGCATCTCACCCACTCCATGACGTACTGGCCGTATACAGCCAGCCTTCAGCCAGAGACTCATTTTGCCAAAGTCATTTCTGCCTGCTGCCTTCAGGCTTTACAATGCCCAAGTCTGTGCTAATTGACTCAATTATTTTCTGCACTCATTTATAGATTATTTATTGATTTATATATATATTGCATGCGATTGCTTCATTATTTGTTTATATCTAGTCATTTTGAACTATTCGCTCTTTATTATTCACTAATAAATATATATGTATATATATATATATATATATATATATATATATATATATATATATATATATATATATATATATATATATATATATACACAAAGTAAAATATAAACTTTGTATTTATCACCTAAGATGGAGTAGCTTTCAACAAATTCCCCTAGGGGCCAATAAAGTATATTCTATTCTATAGAAATGAAGAACAAAAGTAAAATCCTGGAACCCTGAAAATCTCAGCTGTGTTTCTCAGCTGCTCAGCCGTTTGCTAATTCAGTGCTTTTAGAATCAAAGTAAGAAGAAACTTTACAATAGTTAAAACCCACCTGCTGCCCTTAGAGTAAATGTACAAGCATATTTTGAAAGTTATGTTATTACAACTTAGCTGGAAGTACCCAAATAAAAAATCCAGCTTGGAGCCCCATAAAGTGCTGGCTCTCGTTCCAAGCGACGTAGATTATAGTAGTTCAGTCAAAAAATTGGAACTCCGTGGTGCTGTTCCTCTATTTCTTATGGTTCTGAGTCTACTATTTGTTACTCCATTTGTATGTTAATTCAATTGTCAGGACCTGTTAAAACTTGGGATGCACAGAACCATTCTTTTTTCACTTCCGATATACGGATATGTGAAGTTTTGTATTGGTTGATACCGATTCGAAACAGAAAAAAAGTACTTAACTGATTCAAAACGTTTCTTTTTTTTTTAAACAGACTTAAATGTACTGAGTAACAAGTTTGTTTGATAACTCTGCATCTTTAGGCTCTTACTTATAGCTTCACAAGCTTGATAAAACATGCAAACACAACAAAACTATCTTTAATTTGTTCAGTCCGTGCTATTGAAGTACAACGGCCAATGTAAAGCAAACAATAAAGAAATTAAAACTGACAAAAACAATAGGTTGACTACCTCCAAACGTCAACAAATCTTCTTCCAGATGGTTCAGAAAGTACAACTAGAAATTCTAAATACAATGTAAAATACATGAATAAAGCCTGACGTTGCTCAGAGCACCAAGCATAGAACTAGACTGAATGGATCTGCCCTTATGGATCAGGCACATCGCCACCGATACCCGATCTAGAATCTCTTCTCAACATCGAAGCGGTTATATAGGTTAACGTTGCATCTCTAGTTGATACACGCCTCCTCAAATCAACAGGCACGTTCATTTGAAGCTTCTGCTTGAAAAAAATAAAAAAAATCCAATTTAGAAAGAAGCACAGAGGCTGTTGGCCACAATACAACCGAATCTCATTCCCACATGAACTGAACTCTGCTACTTTGGATTTAATCACAGCATAACCCTTGTTGACCTCGCATAAATGAGCAGTCCACCTGTGTTAGCCTCAGCATTGTTGCTGAGGCAACAGAGTGACCCCAGAAAATGAAATAAAGAGGACTGACCACTTGGCCGAGCACAGGTCAGTCCACATCTTTCTATCGGGACGGTGAGCTCACCTTGGGAATTCACGTCAAGCTGAGGCCAGTCTGTTTGCTTCTGCTTTCAAGCCTAAACCTCTTCACACATGACGGAACAGGAACTGGACATTTTCAAGGAAGAGACAGGAGGAGGGGATCGGGATTTAGTTGCAAGGTTTTGGAAAATAGGCTTAAGAGTTTCAAAAAAAAAAAAGCTTGTGACATTGCATTTAAATTAGATGAGTAGCATGTAAATATGCCTGACTGGAATTCCAGTACCAGTAAATTCTTCTCCTTCTTTTCAGTGACCGGTTTGGGTCGAAGCAGGGAAATAAAAATGTTACATCTGGAGTAGATTGAGCTGTTTTTGGTTGACATTGCACAAACATTTTCTCATTACTGCAAAGTGATTAGATGTGACCGTTTAGCATTTGCTTTAAAATATATTTTCGTCACTGTAAAAATATATGCTAATGCTGGAATTCTCTGCAGCATAGCAACTGATTTAATTGATTAATTGACAATTATCAGAAGTATGGGTAACTACGGCTGGCTCTGCCAATGCTCCTATTCCTGTCATCTATTTTTGTACCTAAATTTTCTTCAGCGTCAATAAAGGTGAGCAAACATTCAATTGACTTTATCAGAAATAAATGCAATGTAATGCAAGTCAATTAAACTTAATATTTTTCTACATATTTTTTAATCATTACACACTTTAAAAAGAAAGAAAAAATAGACGGAAATTAAACAGTTTAATGTAGGATTTCAATAAGTTTCATGTTGAAAATGTGTGATTTGGAAAAGTGTTTTTTTTTCTGCCTTAAACTATTTTGTAATCATTTGTTTGAAATTCTCACTTTTCTTAAAAACAAAGTCTTTAAGAAGACGAAATTTGCACAGAACTTTAAGTTTTTGTCTGTCTGACGATATTTTAAAATATTAAATCTGGGGTCAATTTCAATTAGCTAATTACGTCAATCAAAAAAATACATAAATAAATAACCCAGTTTAACTGCATTTCACTGAGCTTTCTTTTCTTTTCTTTTCTTTTTTTTTTTTTTTTTGTCTTTTCCACATACAGAAAAAGACAAAAATCCAAAAATATGCAAGTAAAAAATAAAACACTTTGCGCTGTTGAACGACCCAAACAATAGATTAAGAACAATAGGTGTCTTTGTTGTTGCGCTCATCTTGTTTCGACAGTGGCGGGTTTTGGGTTGAAAATGCTGCTTGCGTTTTATCGAGAACCATACAATGAACCCAGGTGAAACATTTCATTCGAGTCTCGTGTTGTTCTTCAGAGCTTAAGTTCACTTTTACCAAACACTCTGCTGACGGCTCCGTTTTCCTTCCACCTGGATGAAAAGCGCTGCTCTTCCTCCAGCGCGTCCTTCCGCTGCTCTGTCCTCTTGCGCTTTGACGCCACTCGGTGTCTGTTACACCTGTTCTTGGCGGCGAACCACAGAACAGGTGCGACTCGTCAATTTCAGCTGCGTCTGGACCGGAAAGAGGGATGTTGGTCGTTTTTTTGCCGACAAAATAAAAGCATCGCATTTCAATCATGGGCTTCTGGTGACTCCCTGCAAAAGAGGCGTTTTATTTTGGAGGGGCGACTGTGGAAGAGGGTTTTTGGACAATCAGGCTAGCAATACGACTGACTCGCATAGGTACGTCGGCTCTTCTCCTCCGGACCGGGTCTCTCCCGCCCCCCCATCCCCGAACCCTCCCTCTCGGTGAAGGGACCGAATGACAACTCGCAGAGTTGTTCTCGCTCGCGCGGCCGGAAGGAGGGATTCACCGGGAAGAGGAGGGAGGACAGGAGTCGCGAAGGACAGTCAGTGTCGGAGGTACGAGTCCAGGGTCGACTTGACTTTCTCCGGTTCGTCCCCCCCGACCCTCCTGCAGACGCCCGACGGCTTCCCGTCGTCCTCACCCACCCCAAGTGTCCCTTGCGTGTCCGCGCGAGGACGGGCGCTGAAAACAATAGATCCTCCGAGACCAGCTGAGGGACACCGGGACAGAGAACCATGGAGATCTGCTCCACTTCCAGGAAACTTACTTTGCTCTCCTTTCTCATGGGGCTCTCAGGTAAGTGTTTGTTTGTTTGTTTGCTTGTTTTTAATTACATTTTAGTTCTCCAATTTCTCAAAAAAAAAGAAAGAAAAAGTGGAGCATTCCTTAAAACAACTCAAATTCATCAAGAGCGGGGATGTTGTGTCGATTTCTTCCAAGGTGACTTTCACAGAGCGCTCAGAGTGACTTCTGACAACTAAATCACATTTTGTTGTTGTGTTTTTCTTGTTTTTTTGTTTTGCATCCACTGAACGGGCAGTGAGAGCGTCTCTGAGCAGAAAGCCCGGTTCCGCTCACACGCAGGCTCTGCGGTTCTGATGTCAGCAGATGTATAGAAGCAAAGCAGCAAAAATAAATAAATAAATAAATGAAATAAAATAAAAATGACTGACAGCTCGGTGTTTCTGGAGCTCTGTGAGCCAGGAGCGGGCTGGGATTTAAGGCTCAGACACCTGTTTGTTTTCCACTGGATTTAAAACAAGTGTGTTACACATGATTATGTCTCCCAGGGTGGGTGGGGGGGTGAAATAATCCCCTTATATCTGCTCCATCGTTGGCTCACCGTCGCCTTCAACTCCTGTACTTTCCCCTGATGGCTGTGCTGGACGCGCATCCTGGTTTTAGTCGTTTGGAGCAAACTGGGACGAATCGGAGTGAAACCATTCACTAGCTGCTTTCCACGAAGCGTGGAAATTGTGCAAATTCAAATTGCGACAATAAGTTTGACGGAAACACGTCTTTCGGGTCACGCGAGTCACGTGATCAGGAGCCGGACGTTACCGCTGGCGAAAAACGGCGAAGAAGACCAGACAGGAAGTAGTGGGAAAGTGATGTTTTGTTGGGTTTTTTTTTTGTTTATTTGTTTGTTTTTTAAAGGGGGGGAGGAGGACAGTGTGAAGTTGGTTCTCACAGTAGGCTATCTAACAGTTCATAAAAAGTTGTGCGTCATTCAAAAGTGTATAATCCACAGCTCTTCCGTGAAATCACCAAAACGCTGCATACACATGCTGCTCCAACGCCATGTTAAGATGGTCGGGTCTTCTCTGCTAGCTGATCAATGATGAGCGCCAGAGCCATTGGCTAAAGTATGAATATATTTCATGTAACTGTTTACGTCCTTTGCTGCCATGATTGCTACTAATAGACTTGTTGCCTGAACAAGTTTATTCCAATTGTGATTTTAATTAAATTTCTTATTTTATGGAACAATACAGTTTTGAAACAAAAACAAAAATTTGCACACATTTGTAATGGAGGATCTGACCCTCTGCAAGAAAGGTTCTGGTGGAGAAAAATAGCAGTTTCTGTTTCTCTCCAAGGAACCTGGGAGGTAAATAAAAAATGTTTTAGATTTGTCACCAACAGAGACAGCAGGGATATTTGAAACTTTCTGTCCAAGGTGTCCGGCTACCTGTAGGGTGTATCTCCTTCAGCCAGAGTTGCTTCAGGTGAGTATGTGTGTGTGCCAAGAGGCAGGCTGGCGACTTTCACACGCCCTGTGTGTGTGATGCATGAACGCAGGCTCCCCACCGTTCGGAGCCGGAGTTTGATTCTCAGCGGTGTTGCCAAAACAATCCCACGAACTGACATGGGCAACCTCAGGGCCGCTTGTTCCTCCCTGGTCGGGACGCAGAGGAGTAAAACATGACAAACAGTCCCATTTGCGCACCCAGACCCAGGGCGAGTCTGTGGTTCAGGGCAGATCTCTGGTATCTTCTCTGCCGTTTTAATTACACGCCGTGATTCAGTGTCAGCAGACAATGGGACAATAAAAGTTCAGCGCTCGCCATTGGAGGGCCTGCAGGTGTGTCCTGAAAAATACTGGGCAGTCTGAATGGAGGCAGGAAATGGTCATGAATAGCAGGCAGTGGTGAGGGGAAAACAACAGGCTCCTGGAGTCCCTGATGGGGCCGAACCTGGAGCAGGAACCTGGAGCAGGACGTGAACAAACATCCTCCCGCTAGCAAGAAGTGGTCCCGGTTAGAGGTTCAGTTTGAGAAGAAACTTGGTCCAGCAGGAACTCGAAGGGAAAAAGAAAAAGTGATTTGTTCTGGTAGCCAAATTTGTTTTTTTGTGTGTGTATCTATTCCCAAGTTTACAGATTGCACTTGAATGCAACAGTAAACCTGCTGTCCGTTTCTTTTCAGACAAACATGCATTCCTCATTTAAGCTGATGCCACTGGATGTGAGGAGAAATGCCAAAGTTTTCACTCTCTTTTATCATATTTTGACTCTTTTATAGTAAAAGAAAAACTATGTAGAAAAACATATCTGTGCATAACTCGCATAACTCTTAAGACAAAGGACAATGGGAAGTAGTTTTCTAAACCTTTTGCATTTAGAAAACCAAAAATCTGAAAAGTGTGGTGTGCACTTGTGTTCATATCCCTGAGGCAATATTTTTGAAACTGATTCTTTTCTTTTTTTTCGTCTACTTCTCTTTCCAAAATAGCTGAGACTCAGTCCGATTGGATGGAGAAGATCTGGGAGTAGAACATGTCAAGTCTTGACACAGAACAGGATTCCTATGTCATGTTTTATTTGCAGCTTTGTAGAAATTGTTGTAGGGCCAAACTTGATCTGACCGCAGTGTTCCTTGATTGAATCCCAAGAGCTGGATTCTCTCTGCTAACACAGGACTGTTGGTCTAACCCATACGATTCTTTAAACCCTGAGTGGAATGTGACAATGTTTAAGAACGTTTAAATTCAAACAGTGTGAATTATTTTGTAATGCACACTGATCTAACAGAGCATTGCTCTTTGTTTACTCAAATTGAATAGTATGACTTTACAACTTCAGCTCTACTAACAGAGAAAGTGGCTCATTGATTAACCTGTCCCAACATAATCAAACCTTGTTCACTTTATATATTTAAAGTAAACAGGGTTTTAGCGCATTCAGTTGCAAAAGTTTTTTGCTGACTCTACAGCTTTCTACATCCCTCAGTCTGATCTATTTGTTTTATTTTGAGGTGATAAAATTCGTGAGGAAAAAAATCGTATAACTGCAAAAGTACAGTGGCAAACTTGTGCCATGCTAGCAATCTGCACCTCCTGTTTATTTCTGCCAAGATATTACACTTTGTCCCTGATGGGGCCGAACCACTTTGAAACCAGTAGAGGATCTAATTTACCTCATCTGTTTATTATTTTTTTTGTTTACACATTTTAAAAGTTCCCTCATAATTTGCGTGATGGAAACATGGGTAATATCGCCCCAGATTCAGATGGCCAAGTAAGAGGAGGTGGCAGTTCTGAACGTATTTGATCCCATCAGGTCAACTGGTCCAGCTCTGAGCTTCACTACAGCCTTTTGTTGAAGTCATTGTTCTTCTCCACGATTAACTCTGTCATTAACTCGCAGTGGGTTCACCTCTTCAAATGAATGTTTTCAGTCTAAAGCTGAACACAAGATTCTCAGTCTCACAAACCCATTAGGATTATCTCTGTGAAGTTATGTTCAGGGTCAGCTAATTTGATTACGGTGTCTCTGGTTCAACAAGCGCTGGGCCTAATTATACTCCTTATTCTAACTGCTTAAATACGCTGGCCTCATGTCGGGTCCTCCAGGCGAGTCTCTACCAGCGTCGCATATCTACAGGCTGATGTTCTTTCACAACCATCAAGCTCCAGAGCAGATAGGAATCCTTTGTTTCTTTTATCACAGATTCTCAATTAAATTTAGATATGGATTTCGACTCGTGAATATGCTTTAATTCTAACTCTTCCATTGTAGTTGTGGCTGTATGTTTGTAGTCCATGAAATAATCTGTGTGACCCTTTACCGTCATTGAAGATAAACTTGGTCCTCCAAATTTGGAAAACAGCACACAGTGTTTTTCTTTATTCTTTTTATTTAGTCATTTAAGATCATCCACAGACATTCAACAACTTTTTAATCCAAAATAGATTTATCAACACTCAGCTGAATGCAGCAACAGCTCTCTGAGAGACTTCTTGTGTTTGAATAAAAACATTTCTTGGACCAAAACAGTAGAAAACATCTGACCCAAAATGTTAAGAAACTCGCTATCTTTCTTTGGTAAAGCAACCATCGAAGACCCCTTTTTTAATCGATGATTTCTTTTCTACTTTTTTTTTTTTTTTAATGAAAATGTTGCAACTTTATTTATTGCTAAACAGTTAGCATTGTTAATTGGAAAAAAAAAACATGCTAAATCTTTGGACACCAGTGATTTAGGGTGATTGTCGTGCTGGAAGCTGGAACTCCAGTCAGTCTTAAATCTCTAGTCAGACCTCTAACAGCTTCTCCCTGTGTTTAGCTCCAAAAATCTCATCAACTTTGACCTCTAATCTAAATAAAAAAATGAATTTCTGCAGCATAATACAGGCCACCACCAGGTTTTCTGTCAAGCAAATTAATTTTTGTAATTCCACCTTTGGGAATTTCATGGTCAATGGAAACGGAGCTGCTGTCATCTTGTTTGGTGATGGAGGGTGACATCAGTCTATGCAGTTCTCTGCAAGAAATTCGTGATCTGACAGCTGTTACACAGTTTGACAGTTTGTTTGTCTGTCTTCCTTGCTGTCCTCCCACAGCGGTTCGGATTGGATGTTCAAACTGCATAATTTTAATGTAAACTGATCCAGTTCACAGAATCAAGCACATCTATAAACATTATACGCAGGCGTTCAACAAATGTCTGTGCAGCTAATTGGGATGTGGAAAAAAAACACGTCTCAGAATTTTGTCATATGTTCAGTGAAAGGCTATTGTCTAAACAGTGAGATTACAGGCGCTTTCGCTGAGTTTACAGTAGCTGTGTTTTTCTAGGCTCTCAGCAGTGAAACGCTTTAACAAATAAATAAATAAAAAAGATTGCCTTCGTGAAGTTGGAGACATGACTACATTGCTCCTGCATGTCAGATTCATTGGCTTTACAGTGTCATGTTCCTTCTGTTGGACTTATGTGAGGGCATATTCCTGTCAGCCTGTCGTTAACCTTGTCTGTCGCACTGTCCTGGACAGCTGTGGCAAAGTGGGAAGAGTG